GCGGTGCTATGGTTTGGTTTGTCCCCCAAAGATTCATGTGCTGAAAGATTGAACTCCAATGTGTTAAAAGGAAATGAGACCTTTAGGAGGTGGGACCTAGTAGTGGTGTTGGATCAATAGGATACCATCTTCATGAAGAGATGAATGCCGTCTCTCAGGGGAATGTGTTCTCACTATTATGGAAGTGGATGTAGCCTGTAAAATAGCGTAACCATATGTCCTGATTCTCCTGGTACAGCCAGGAGAATCAGAAAAGGCTGTTATAGAAGTAAGATGGCTGCCCACAGGTCACCCTCTCTGCATGTGCCTGCTGACCCTTCTACTTCTCTCCATCATGTTATGATGCCAAAGAGGATAGACAGGTGCCTACTCCATGCCTTTGCAATGCTCCAGCCACCAGAATCATGAGCCAAATCAACTTTTGTTCTTATTAAATCTCTCATCCTCAGGTTTTGTTTAGCAGTACAATAATGAACTAAGATAGATGGTAAAAGTCCGAAGTTTCTATTGTTTGTAATGAAATTGAACACTGTTTATGGTTTTGACTCATATTTCATTTCATTTTTTTATCTGTAATGATGGGAATAAATATGGTAGTAATACAAGGAGAAAGAGATGTATTTTACCATGCACAAATGGAATGGCTGGAGAATAATTAGCAGGTAATTCATAAGTAAGTGAGAGACTGTAGTGTTGAAACAAAGGTCAGCTCTTAGGCAATTCAAAGCCAGGGAAGTCAGATACATAGAGAGAACTTCAAAGAGGAGATAATTCTTACCTCCTTGAAGACAGTGTAAGAAACTGCAGTGGCTAGTTTGAGCCAAGACCTTATGGTGGAAATTAGGTGGCATAGGAGACTGGCCTGATAAAAGTAACTTTTTCTTTAAAAAGTAGCTAAGAATGTGCTGGAAAAATTATGGTGGAAGCCTGGATGATATGGACTGCCTGAAGAGGACAGAACCCCAGGATAGGAAGAGCCCAGAGGGGAGCTATTCTCATTAAAGCTGGGAGAGGGACTGGGCCCAGAGAGCTGCCTCTCCAACCACCCCCCTTCTTTAGCCTTTGTGGTACTCCCCAGGTACCTCCAAAGAAAGCCAGGGTCTCCTATGCTTCTATAAAACTGGTTTTTCCCTTGTTCCCACAATGTAGCTCAACAACATGTTTGTTGACAGCACAAAAATTCTAAAACTTTTAATTATTTCCTCTTATACTATTTGTTTAAGATATCCAAACCCCAATCCAGCTAGAACTGTATTAGAATGCAAAAGCATTATGACTAATAAAATGTTAGCAAACTCCAGCAAATTTGGAGACTACTTACTTTAAACTTCATTTCATAGAATAAAATTCTCAAACTGCCAAATAATAAAGAGAACATCTGAGTTTATTACAAATGGAATTTAAGCTCTATTTTCCCAAGCATAAAAAGAAACTCATTTTCCCGAGGATTTGTTCTTGGAGAATTTTTTCACTAAGCAAAAATTGTCTGAGATCAAGGCATCAGCAGGGGCGGCTCCTCTGGAGAAGTGAGGGAGAATCTGTTCCACACCTCTCCCTAGCTTCCAGTGGTTTCCTGGCAATCTTTGATGTTCCCTGGCTTGTAGACACATCACCTGATCTCTGCCTTCATGGCCATGTGGTGTCCTACCTGTGTGCATAGCTATATCCAGTTTCCCTGTCTTATTAACGGTGGCAGCCATGTTTGATTAGGGGTTCAGGCTACTCAGCATGACTTTGCCTTAACTGGTTATATCTGCAATGACTCTATTCCTTACAAGGCCACATTCCGAGAGACAGGAAGTTAGGACTCCAGCTTATGAATTTGTTGGGGGAAGAGGAGGATGGGAGAACACAATTCAACTCTTTACAAGACTCAGCCATGCCTCTTCACCCTGGTTCCACCACAGTAGAGCATGGCTCTTCCATGGCCAGCATATGGCTGGGGTAATGAAGTTCGCCCTGGCCACTGGCCCTCAGCTTCTCTGAGATTGCAGTGCCAGTAAAATGGCCAAAGTGCAGAGCCATTTGTGCACTTCCTTGTGAAAGCACTTTTAGAGAAGAATGCTCCTCAGTCAATTCAGTAAGAACCCTTCATTCTTGATATCTGATCAGGTTTCTCATCCTTTATCATTCTAAGTGATGTGGGATCACCCTCACCCTGAGCTGAGCTGTCTTCAGCAAGAATCCTGTTAAGCTGGTTTAGCCAGAATCTCTCTTCCCAGTGATGCCCCCCTCCCCACCCCTGCTCTTTGTCTATAAAACCTTCAGCAAGAATCCTGTTAAGCTGGTTTAGCCAGAATCTCTCTTCCCAGTGATGCCCCCCTCCCCGCCCCTGCTCTTTGTCTATAAAACCTTACTGGCTCAGGACATATTCAGAGTTGAGCCTCTTCTCTCTCTTGACTGCCATACCCAAGTGTAGTGGTCTTTGTCTTTACCATGATGGTCCCAAATAAAGTTGTCCTTACTGTGCTTTAACAAATATCATTGAATAATTGTTTCTTTAACCCTCAATGAGCTTTGATAAGGTTGCTTCTCTCTGGCTTTATACCAATGGGCCTCTTTCGCTGGTTTAGCCAGAATCTCTCTTCCCAGTGATGCCCCCCTCCCCACCCCTGCTCTTTGTCTATAAAACCTTACTGGCTCAGGACATATTCAGAGTTGAGCCTCTTCTCTCTCTTGACTGCCATACCCGAGTGTAGTGGTCTTTGTCTTTACCATGATGGTCCCAAATAAAGTTGTCCTTACTGTGCTTTAACAAATATCATTGAATAATTGTTTCTTTAACCCTCAATGAGCTTTGATAAGGTTGCTTCTCTCTGGCTTTATACCAATGGGCCTCTTTCTACTCTCCCTGTGCTGAGGACAAAGGTAGGCACACCGGTGCCCAGTAGGGTGAGTCTCGGCAACCAGCCAGAGTTCCACTCATGGTTTCCTTTGTGTCCGAGAAGTGCCACAGCAGAGGTCATGCCTGCCTTTGCAATCTGGGTTCCAGGCCAACTGGAGAGGCAAAATGGTATAAGCAAGTAATCATTTATTCCCTTTCTAAGCTGTTCTTAGTTAATTTCTCATTTCTTCATTCTCTTATTGATGATATTTTTGTTTAAATCAAAATTTCCCTTCACAGCCTGGTTTTTACATCTGCTTGATTCGTACAGTGAAGATCTAACCCCAGGTTTGTTTGTCTTGTCACAGTTTGTTGCCAGGGGAATAATTACAAGATAGCAAATTTCAACACTAACTTCAAAGCACCCTGAAAGAAATGAAAAAAAACGGACAAGATAGAAATGTGCTCTTAGCTGAACACAGATCTCTGATTATTGTCAAAAGCACAGTAGAAGACAATCTCAGAGTAACAGGGGTTGCATTAATGGTTAAGTATATGTCAATTGGGTCTCCGAGATAGGCTTCCTCTTCTCTAAAAAATAATATGCATTAGAAACAGCAAAATGAGCCTTTGAGATTCAGAAAGGAAAGGATGTGGGTCCCAAGTGGTGGACTCATATGGGAAAGGTCCTAGGTTCATATTCTGGGACTTCCCTGAACACACCACACATACGTGCTTATGATCTGAGCCACCTTTTAAAGTTTATACAGCACAGAATACTATGTCAGATGATATAGAGACATGCAAAGCAAAAAATTGTTATACTCACTTATTATACTGATTATTTATACTGAGTTGGCGTGCTTTACCCACATCTATTATAATTCCGCCAATAACTTCAAGGTTACTATTGTTCCCTTTTAGCAAAAGAGAGGTTCTGAAGTTTCCCAGATTACACAGGCAGTGAAGTGGTGGAATCTGAATTGGAAGCCAGTGCTGTCAGATTCGATTTCACTCTCATGTTTTAATACACAGCCCCATTGTTCTTAAGGAGGGTATCGCCCAATTGCCCTTACCACTCTTGAGTGGTAAGGGATTGGACTCTTGAGTGGACTGTCGCATGAACATTTGTTAAAGGGTGCCTTTCTGCCTGTCTGCCTATGCCTTTCTCTCTGTCTCTTCCTGTCTCTATTTCTCTCTTACGGAAGAAATAATTAATTTGTTTTTTCTTAAAAGAAAGAAAAGAATGCTCAGTGTTGAAGGTAATGCTGAAGAAGTATGGTGCTTTGGGGTTTCCTGCGGAGAGACTGAGTTGGTTCTATGTCATGTTTAGCCCAGCTAAGGGACCTGCAGAAACATGAATAGGATAAAGCACGCGAGACAGCTAATGATCTTTAATGGGGAGGCCGGGGGCTTGCAGATTTAGAAGAGTGTGGCTCAGACTGGCTGATTTTTTGTTTATTTATTGAAAAAGAAAGTGCCAGAAAGATGGCAAGTATTGTTAGATTTTTTTTTTTTTTTTTTTTGTAGCTGTTGAGATAATAAGAGACTGTGAGGCATGTTTAGGGAACATGTGAAACTCTTAATTAGGCCAATATGGTCACATGGTTTTGTTTTTTGGACAGAACAGATTCTGTGTTTCCTCACTGTGGTGTGCACACATTAACCGTGTTAAGATCTGACTGTCCCCTGCAACCATTCTAGAGGTGGTTGGCTTGCTTCCTGGGTTCCCTGGGCTCACTTGAAGACACATCTGACATTCTAGGAAGTGTCCTTAGCTATAGTCCTGGCTCCAAAGTCTCTTGGGAGGATGAGACCCTGGCCTGCTTCACAGTCCGGTGATATTTTCTGTTGCTCCTGGGTAGAGGCAGAGAACCATAATAAAGAGAGAAAGAAATGCTTGTTTATTTTTCATGAGAAAAACGGAAGCATGATAATTAACCCACCTTCAAGTCACGTATTGTTTAGAGGACATGAGATTGTAGCATCCTGGTCAGACTTCTAGAAATCTAAGTATTTGAAGTGAAATTGTCATTGTTGGCCTTCTTTTAAATCCAGCTAACAGAATGCCTTCATTAGTGCGATCAGTTTATAGGTATTTATATGATGCACAGTTTTTAAGTAAAGACATACATTTTTCTTTTGTATTTTAATTTTTCCTGTTATTATCTTTTAGATAAAAATATACACTCTGGAAGAACACGACGTTGTATCAGTTTGGGTTGAAAAGCATGTGGAAAGTCCAGCACACTTGGCTTATCACCTCTTGTCTGACTTTACAAAGCGACCTTTGTGGGACCCCCATTGCATGTAAGAACTAATTTAAAATTTTTCTTAATCAACCCTGACATGATGTAAAAGATGAGACAATCTCCACATTGCAGTCTATCTTCATTGCCCAACATATGACCCATTGCTTTTTTTAACAAAAAGCTACCTTATTTTTCTTTTTTTGGAGAGGTTTTTGCTATAGGGCGCCTGCGCTCACCAGACAGAGAGAGACATAGAGACAGAAAGCGAGAAATCATTCCCCAGGGGGGATGGTCACGCCGCAATCCCTTCTCCTCCATTCTCCTCTCGGGATCTTGGGCACGCACACACACGCGCCTGGCGTGAGTTTTAAGCCACCGGGTCTGGAACGCGAACTGCAGTCGACTACGTGGGAGTCCAGCGACATAGCCATTACGCTAACTGCTGGTTCCCTGAAAAGCTACCTTTTAAAGTTTATACAGCACAGAATACTATGTCAGATGATATAGAGACATGCAAAGCAAAAAATTGTTATACTCACTTATTATACTGATTATTTATACTGAGTTGGCGTGCTTTACCCACATCTATTATAATTCCGCCAATAACTTCAAGGTTACTATTGTTCCCTTTTAGCAAAAGAGAGGTTCTGAAGTTTCCCAGATTACACAGGCAGTGAAGTGGTGGAATCTGAATTGGAAGTCAGTGCTGTCAGACTCGATTTCATTCTCATGTTTTAATACACAGCCCCATTGTTCTTAAGGAGGGTATCGCCCAATTGCCCTTACCACTCTTGATATTTAATTGGCAGTTCCTGTGTGTGTGTGTGTGTGTGTAATATAGGGTATGTGTACTCAATAAAGACAGAAAGAGGGAGAGAAAGTGAGAAATCACCCAAGGGGAGTGATTTCACACCACAATCCCTTCTCCTCCATTCTCCTCTTGGGACCTTGGGCATGCATGCATATATGCCTGGCATGTTTTCAAATCACTGGGTCCGGGACTCAAACCACTCAGTTGACCATGAGAAATCAAGCCACTATACCACCAGCTCATCCCAGTAGTTCTTTTTTATTCCTATGAAACAATCCAAACTGGTGAGAAGCCAGGAGAGCAGGCCATGTGAGTCCTGGTGAAAGGATTCCCTCCTGTTCTGCCTGTCTCATTGTGGCCTGCTCTTGTCAGCCTGCATCTCTTATTCCTCCATTCCATCTCCAGCATCTCTGAATCTTCCTTCTCTACTTTCCTCCCTTTCCTGGAAAACAGAGCTATGTGCCTCATCAACTGCACTGGCAGTGACTATATTCTGGTCCAATCCTGGGCCACATAGCCCTCGGAGCTATGCCAGCACCTTAATAGGGAGGGTTGGTGAGTGGGCTTCCTATTACATTAAGTGTTACTGCTTATTTTCTAATCTTGACAAGGTAGAGGTTCATCTTTAAAATTTGTAAAGCTCACAGTGATTAGTACCATGTAATAGACAATTTAATACCATTAATGTGAAACATCTCTGGGGTCATATGTTATATTTGCATAGATGCCAGAATGATACATCATGGTTAATACTGTCATAATAAAACATTCTGAGAGAAGGGGAAAGCTTTTTCGATTTTCTTGCATTAATATTTAGAGATAGTCTATAATTACAAAACTTTTAAGAAGAATAAGCAGGGATCAACAGATGGCGTAAAGGTTATGTTGCTGGACTCCCATGTAGTCCACTGGAGTTTGAGTCTCGGACCTAGGTGCTTAAACCTCATGCCAGAGGCGTGTGTGTGCATGCCCAAAATCCCAAGAGGAGAATGGAAGAGAAGGGATTGTGGCATGTCCATCCCCTCTGGGAGATGATTTCTCACTTTCTGTCTGTCTGTTTCTGCAGTGAGCATATGACCCTACAGCAAAAAATCTCTCCAAAAAGAGAGAAGTTTTGTATTAATTCTTTTATAATGCTTCTACTGCTATTTTCTGTTTTACTTGATATTCCAGCTGAACCACACTTGAATGAACACAGGAATAAACAAGTTAATTCTAATTCAACTAACTTTCCTTGTACACCTTCTGTGATTCAGGTACTAGGCCAGGTGTTTTTATTTAATCCTCACAATAACCCGTAGGTATTATTTACATTTTTACAAAGGAAGAAAAACATGACTTGCCTAACACATCATTGTTATAAGTTACAGACAAAAGGCAGTAGTTTGACTCCACACTTAGTTCTCTTAGTTCTCTTTCCAATCCACCGCATTTCTTTCTTTCTTTCTTCTTTTTTTTTTAGAGAGGTTTTTGCTACAGGGTGCATGTGCTCACCAGAAAGACAGAGAGAGACAGAAGGCGAGAAATCACCCCCCAGGGGGGGATGGCCATGCTGCAATCCCTTCTTTTCCATACTCCTCTCAGGATCTTGGGTACGCACGCCCACAGTCAACTTCGTGGGAGTCCAGCGACATAGCCATTACGCCAACTTCTGGTCCCCCACCACATTTCTTTATCTAATAATCTTCACTGGATGTATGAGTCACCAGTCTTTTACTCGATCTTATCCAACAATAATGTTGGGTGAAATAGTTCACACCTTTTTCAAAGTACTGAGGGAAATGAGCATGGAATCAGGTTGTTGTCATAATATACAGAATGATTTCTTTGGACCAAATAGCTCATTCTAGATGTAGGAGTAATGCTGACTTTGGGGGATGGTTAGGTGGACTGAAGGTGTGAATGTGGATACCAATATTGAGATTATGCAAACAATGAAGTGAGTGAATGCCTTATTATAGCAGGTAGAAAGTATTTTTTTTCTTTTTTTTGTATTGCTTTATTTACATAGGTCCTGTGAAGTCATAGACTGGGTGAGTGAAGATGATCAGATATATTACATCACCTGTCCTACGGTGAACGGTGACAAGCCCAAAGACTTGGTAATACTTGTATCACGAAGAAAGCCTCTCAAAGATGGGTGAGTATATGTGGTTCAAGTGTTATAGCAATATTTTCTAGTATAACATAGAAATTAAAAGGTTGAAATGAAAATAAGGAAGTCAATATAGCATTTCTGATCTTGAATGATATTCATGTGAATTTTATTTTTAATTTGCCAGAGGGTACATGCACTCACCAGAGAGAGACAGACGAGGAGAAAGTACCTCCCAATGGAATATGGTCATGCTGCAGTCTCTTCCCCTCCATATCTCTATCCCATCAGGATTTGGGGCATGCAGGCACACATGCCCAGCATGTTTTTAAAGCCACCAGATCTGGAACTTGAACCACATGGTTGACCACGTGGGATCTAGCTCCCTTAACCACTGGGCACTGGGCTGGCCCTTATTTGAAATTTTTCTAGATGGTTATTTAGCTATTACTAAAAAACAATGAACAAGTATATATTTAAGTGCTACTGTGTGCAAAGCACCATGTAAGGATGATAAAATGGATCCTAAAGCAGTTCTCTTTTCCATTGCTTTAGGTGCACGTAAAACAGGTATTTGTAACCATTTGAAACATTCCCTTATCAGTAGAAATGCAGTGAAATCCAAATAAAGCACCAGGATTTGGTCTAGAATTCACAAAGGCTTGATTGTACTAGATATTCAACAGAGCTGGCTGTTGGCTGGGCTAGCAAATCAGAATGCCCATAGAAAGCTCCTCTGTGTGCATTGCACTGCTCAGAGCATGCAGTTTCTAAGGGGAAGTGTCGTAAATAGCCCAACACATATATGAGCATTAATGTACATAGCTGTTCTATGTAGTATCGCTTATGCCAAAAGATATTAGATGGCCCAATTGTGGTGGCATGGGCTGGTATCATGCTCCTGCTCCATTGGCTGGGATGACATGGGAGGCCTGGACTCATTCTTGGCTCAATCTGAAGACCAGGTGAAGTAGCATGCACCTGTAATCCCAGCTACTCAGGATATTGAGGCAGGAGTATTGCGAGTGCAAGGTGAGTGTGGGCAAGATAGTGGATCTGCATGAAAGAGCTGGACATGGTAATGCACAACTATAATCCCAGCTACTCAGAAGACTAAGGCAGGAGGATTGCAACAGAGCAAAGCCTAGTCTTTAAAAAAAGGCATTAGAAATAAACTAAAAGATTAGAAATAAATTAAAGTTTCATTTCATAAGTTATGGGAGATTCATACAGTAGAATACTGTGTGCCATTATTTAAAAAGATGATGTAGGTATGGACATACTGACACAGAAACACCTCCAAATATTGGTTAGGTGAAAAATCCAGGGCCAGACATTGGCACAATGGTGGAGCAGTGGTGGCACAACCTGAGAAAGTCCTTGGCCTCACCTGAGAAAGTCCTGGGTTGGTGTTCTGAGAGTCCATGGGCACATGCATGTGTGACCATAATCCAGGTTGGCTGAGGCTGAGAGTGGAACAAGATGTGAGGACCATTTTGCAGGTACCTGTCTTTCTCTCTCTCTCTCTCTCTCTCTCTCTCTCTCTCTCTGCCTGTCATGGGAGAAACAAATAAACACACTTAAAAAATCAAATTGTAGGAGACCAGCAGTTGGCATGGTGGTTAAGGCACTGGACACTCACACATGCCTGACCACGATTCAAGTCCTGGACCTGGTGGCTTGCTTTCTCACCTTCTCTCTCTCTCTCTGGTCAAATTAAAAATAAATAAATAAATAAATAGATAAATAGTTAAAAAGTTAAATAATTCTTTTTAAAAAATCAAATTGTAGACCAATATTCGTCAAGTGATTATATGCGTGTACAAATCTATATGTGTACATGTACTTATAGAAATGTCATTATCATACATTTATAAAAAGATGTAGAGGGCTACATAACAAAATGTAAGGAAGAGGGTTCACCTCGAGGGTGGGGAATAGGATCAAAGCAAGAACGGACTAAAGGAAGACATATATTTTTCCAGTCAATAGGATTCTCAGTTGTTTGAGGGTTATTTAAAACAATAGGTATTGTTTTTAAGTTAAGAAGAGAGGAGACTGAAATCAGATCCCTGTAGGGCACAATAAAACTTCAGTTTGGAGGCTGAGCCAATTTCCAAAGCAAGTACAATTCATATAAAGCTCTACACGATTCCTAGAGAAAGCGTATGTAATTCTTAGAGAAAACACCCGTGGCCCTTATTACTATTTCCTATGCTTGAATGTAGCCATAGAGCATGTTTTCGGATGCAGACCACTCATCCAGGAGATCTGGGTCTTTTGAGGTTCGCTTCTACCTATGTAAATGAATTGCAGTATCTATAGGCATCTATCCTTCACCTCTCACGAGAAGTTAGGAACTGCCTGTTTGTCTTTCAGAAACACTTACACAGTGGCAGTGAAGTCGGTGACCCTGCCCTCAGTCCCACCGTCTCCACAGTACATCAGAAGCGACATCATCTGTGCTGGATTTCTCATCCGTCCTGTCGACAGCAGTTCGTGCACTGTACGTGTGATGAAGCATCTGCAGCCTAATTTGTTTCTACAGATAGAGAAAAATCTCTTAATTTACCCAGATTTCCTAATTCGTTGTCATCTTGAAATTCGTGTTCACACTAGGGAACTCCTAAAGTTGTCCTTTCACTTCCATTCCAGAATATCCCCATATGATTACAGTCATAGCTTCTCCTGCACCAGCAAAATTCAGATCTTTGCTTGAAAGAGCTCCAAATCAATGAGAAATTAAAATGTTGCATTTTCTTTTTGTCACAGGTATCTTACTTTAACCAGATTTCTGCTAGCATCCTTCCTTACTTTGCTGGAAATCTTGGTGGCTGGTCAAAATCCATCGAAGAAGCAGCAGCCTCCTGTATACGATTCATAGAGAGTACTACCATGGATGGGTTTGCGAGCACATTTTAACGGTCAGCTATCAACTCTCTAGAATGTAATATCCCATTTTTAATTCCAAGCACTCTTATCCTGGATACTTGGCAAACTTTGGGGCCATAAAGTAATTTAACATCAGCCTAAGCAAAATGGAGTTCAGAAGAGGAAAAAAAAAAAAAATCAGCAAGCCCATGGCCTGGTAGTTAAGGGGGCTGAATCCCATCACATGGCCAACTGCACGGCTCAAGTCTCCAACCCAGTGGCTTGAAATATAGGCCAGGTACATGCATGAGGATGCTCAAAATGTTGAGAGGAGGAAGACAGAAAAGGGATTGCAGCATCACTGTGCCCCATAGTGGGGGTTGGGGGTTGCTTTCTTGTTTTCCTTGTCTGACTCCCTCTCTGGACATGCACCTCTGGCAAATTAAAAAAAAAAAAAAAAATTGTTTGTAAAACCATCTGCTATGGTTTGGCTAATGGTATGTCCTCCAAAGTTTCATGTTTGGGGATTTGGTCCCAATGTAATGGCACCGGGAGATGGTAAGACCTTTAAGAGGTGAGGCCTAGTGGGTGGCCTCATGGGAACACTAATCTCATGAATGAATGAATGCTGTGTCTCCCAACAGGGGTGAGTTCTCACACTCATGAGAAGGGCCTAATTTCTACCAGAATGGGTTCTAAAAGTAAGAGCTGCCCAGAGGTTCTCTCTGTTCACATGCACCTTTTTTCTTGCTTCTGTTGACCATGTTGTGATACAGGACTAGAGGCCGCCCAGATGCCAAACCCATGTTCTTGGACTTAGCAGTCACCAGAATCATGGGCCAAATAAGCCTCTATTCTTTATAAATCACCCAGTCTTGGGTACCTCTTTTTAGCAATACAGTAATGGGCTTAGACAGTATCTCAAGTCAAACACCAGAAATCTGGATTTGCATGGGAAGAACTGTAAAACTCAGTTTTAGATCTTCGGTGGTTCTGCTTCTTCTAGGGACACAGATAATGGGAAATTGCCAGGGTACTATATCACATGTTTTGTAAAATGGTACCAATGCAGTTAAAATGATCACAAGCAGTTTTAGGTTACAGAGGTGAGACATATGTCCTGTTAGAAATGTTATATGAGTTTATAAAATTTAAAATGATGATTTGCTAGAAGGTGACTAGTTGATTAATGTATGGCATTGTTCCACGTGCAGCAGGTGTCTGCATGGCAGGAGCATCTGACAAGATGTATTACATGTTTTAGAGCTTTAAATTAGGGAGACATTAAACCATAATGGAGCCCAATCAATTTTAGTAATAAGAACTACTTTACTAGTGTCATTTAACATATATTCAAGGTGGCTGACCAATTTAGTATCTATTGCTATATATACACACAAAGTACCTGCAAAATGTGATATTGCGGGGAAAGAATATTTCCTGAGCTCTTCTTTCATAACCATCACATTAGCACTTCATCCCCTGGACTTCAACATTCATTATTCGCCTCTGTCTGTGATTTGTCTTAACTCACAAGACAAACCAGAATATGTCAAATTCGCCTCCTCTACAGGACAACTTTGAAAAGTCAGAAGAGTTCTGCGTTTGAACTTAGAACACTGACCACGCTAGATCCGTCCTGCTGTTAGTTTGCCAGCTCTCTGCTGCCGCTGCCTCTGCCCACCTCCCACCCACCCAAGTCGTAATTATTTTTAGTTTTCTATGTCAGCATATCTTCATTTACATTAACTTTGAACTGTGCTGTAATTTTAGGAATTAATATTTATATACAATAGAAGAGTGGATATGATTTATAGGTTAAAATAATTGTACATTACATTCCAGAAGTAGAAAGATTTGGGGGGAATACTTTTACATTTTAAAAAAGGTGGAAAAATTAATAATAAAGAGGTTATATTACACTGAAACTGTATTCTGCAATTTCATGCTTCTCCTACAATGGAAACACTTCTAAATGCTAACTGCATAACCAATGTCTTTGAATATGTGCTTTTGAAGCTTTTTTCTCAACAGGAATAGAAATATTGTGAGACTGAAAGGGGAGAGTGACTTTATCAGGATCACTGCAGATATAAAGACATTGCCCACTCTAATTTGTAACACAGGCATAGTCTATAAATTCGGTAGTCACTGGCCACATGTGCTATCTAAATGAAAATTAAATACATTCCATTTTCTTCTTATTATTATTTTTAATTTGCTATAGGATGCATGTGCTCACCAGAGAAACAGAGAGAGAAAGTGAGAAAGCACCCCCCCACACCCCTGGAAGAGGAATGGCCGTGCTGCAATTCCTTTTCCTCCACTCTTCTATCAGGATTTTGGACACACACACACACACACACACACGCCTAGAATGTTTCTAAAGCTGTAATGTTTGGGACTCAAACTGCTTATCAACCATGTAGGATCCAAATTAAATCAACCGCGTAGTCTACCGCGGTTCAAATACCAGACCCGGTGGCTTAAATTCACACTGGGCACGTGTGCGTGTGCCAAAGATCCCAAGAGGAGAATGGAAGAGAAGGCATTGTGGTGTGGCCATCCCCCTTGGGGGGTGATTTCTTGCTTTCTGTCTCTGTCTTTCTGGTGAGTGCATGCGCCCTATAGCAAAAACCTCTCCAAAAATTAAAAAGTTTTTAAAAAATCAGTTCTTGGGACAAGCAGATGGTATAGCGGTTACATACTAGACTCCCACGTGGCTGATCATGGTCTGGGTCCCAGACCCAGTGGCTTGAAACTCATGCCAGTCATGTGTGTGTGAGTACCCAAGATCCTAGGAGGACAATGGAGAAAGAAGGGATTGTAGCATGGCCATCCACTCTAAAGGATGATTTCTCACTTTTCCTCTCACTATCTCTGTTTCTCTCTCTCTCTGGCAAGTGTACACATCCTAAGGCAAAAATATCTTTTTAAAAAAAAAATCAATTCTTAACCATACTAGCCCCATTTCAAGTAGCATTATTCTGTGGTTAGTGACTACCTATTGGACAGTACAGATACAAAACATTTCTGTCATTACAGAAGATTCTTAAATGGTGTTTGTGTATTCAGTTTGCCCCAGTCATTATTTATTTTTTTTTTCATTCTTCCTGTCATGACAGCGAGAGAGGTGAAGAGAGAAACCCCTGATGGCATTGCCACGCCACGAATCTCTCCTCAGCCTTTCAGCAGCTGGGATCCTGGATGTGCCTACAGGTGCACCTTACCTATTCAGGTGGACCCAACATTAGAACTCAGAACCTTCTATATGACTCCAGCACTGCACAGGCACCCTACTGCCTGGACCACCAAGGTCTGTTCCAGTCTTGTAATGAAGCAGGTCCTGTCATTTTTCCATTTTTACCTTTCTTTGTACCCCCCAAAAACCCCTTCTACCCTTTCTAAAAGTTAGTGCTTTTAGGCCCAGCCACAGTGGTGCAGTGGGGGGTCACTGCTTCACAGTGACTAAGGCCACAAGGGAAGCCTGAGTTCCAGTCTTCACTGGGTGCAGTGGTGCGTACCTGTGGTCCTAGCTAGCTGGGAACCTAGGGCAGGAGAATAGTGACATGGTGAGACCCAGTGAAAAATATTCTCCATCCCCCCTGTTCTCCCTCACATTAAAAAAAAAGAAAAAAAGAAAAAGAATAAAAGATTTCACTTTTGATTTTATGCCTCTGAACAAAGACACAGAACTCATCCACTTGGCTCCTTCTCAGATCATTGGCAAAGGCTAAATTGAAGTTCCCACATTTAGGATTACTGAACTTTAGAGACTTCTAAAAAGTATGGCAGAGAAAATAATAGCAATGCATCAGGCTCTACTTAGAGCATTTCAAAAGTTTGAAATCTATTGTTTGAATGGATGATGCAATCCCTTCTCCACTCTCCTCTCAGGACCTTGGGCACACATGCACATGTGCCCAGTGCAAGTTTCAAGGTTCTGAGTATGGGACACAAACTGCTGTCAGCCATATAGGAGTCCAACACCTTACCCACCACGCCACCTGCTGGTCCCTGCAGTTCCTTTTTATAGAGGCCCAGTTCCATCTGCATCCCCCTGGCCAGTCAGGGAAATTGAGGCAGACCCTTTCACTGGCCTTGGCCCCAGCTCTAGCTCCAGCTCCAGCTCCTCAGGTCCCAGTCCAGCTCTTCCAGGCTCAGAGCCCTCCCACACACACACACACACACACACACACACACACACACCAGAAAGGGCAGCCTTCAGCTCTGCGACAGAGCCCAGTTCCATCTGCAGCCCCCTGGCCAATCAGGGAAATTGATGCAGGGCCTTTCACTGGCTCTGGCCCCAGCTCCAGCTCCTCAGGCCCCAGCTCCAGCTCCTCAGGCCCCAGCCCCAGCTCCTCAGGTCCCAGTTCAACTTTCTCAAGCTCAGAGCCAGGCACCTCCATCCACCAGAATGGTAGGTACCACTGCTTTTTTTTCTTCTTCTTTCTTTTTCTTAATTTACTACTATTCCTCACCCCTTAGGGCAGCCCCCAGCTCTCCAGCAGAGTCCCTTTCCATGTGCAGCCCCCTCGTGAAATTGCTTACCAGCATGACTTTTTTTTCTTCTTTCTTTCTTTCATACTCTCATTCTTCCCTCTTATATTGTCATCTTCTCCTCCCACCCAGAGGGACTAGACAGGTCTAGAATTATAATTTTCAAATATCCTTGTATTGTGAGGGTCCCAGAGCCCTCCCTTTAACTGATCCATCTGTGAAAAAGGAGAAACTGCTCTTCACACACCTGAATAGAAGGCTCCTGCTGTGTGCACCACATTGATAAACATAACAAAGAGTTTGGCACACATCATTCCACAACAAAAGGAAAGCAAACTTGTTCCTAATGCCCAGAAACATTCTCCAAAAAGGTATCCAAAAGTGAATGCATAACCCAATGGCTAGAAGTAGAAGAGCCTCAAGTTTGAAGAAACCAGGAAATATGTCCCCATCAAAAGAAAACAATAATTCCTCTCCATCTCTTGAAAAAACAGAAGTTATTGAGATGTCAGACAAAGAATTCAGAACATTCATAGTGACAAATCTCTATGAATTGGAACAGAAAAGAGACAATGAACTCCAGGTTATGAGGAAGTTCTTCTGTGATCTGAAAGAAGAAATGGACACTATAAGATTCATATGGAACTATTAGAGATGAAATCTGTAATAGAGGAAATCAAAAACTTTCTTGAAAGTATTAAAAGTTGATTAGACCATGCTGAAGATTGAATCTCTGATGTAGAAGATAAAACCTCTGACCTAAAAGAAAACACCAAAAAGATAGAGAAAATAACAACAAAAAAAACCCATGAGGATAATATACGAGAAATACTAGACTCCGTAAGATGCCTAAATATCAGAATAATTGGCATCCCAGAAGGTGAAGAAACTAATAACGGCATGGAAAATCTATTCCAAGAAATCCTGGAAGAAAACTTCCCAAGTCTAGAGAGGCATTCAAACATCCAGACCCAAGAAATACAAAGGACTCCAAATAGAATCAATCCAAAAGATCCTACCCAAGGCACATCTTAACCAGACTGGCCAAAACCATAGATAAAGACAAGATACTAAAATTGGCAAGAGAGAAACGACAAGTGACTTACAAAGGTCACCCCATCAGGCTAACACTGGACCTTTCAATGGAAACAATGCAAACAAGGAAAGAATGGGAAGACATATTGAAAATATTAAGAGAGAAACAATTTCAACCAAGATTATTATATTCAGCAAGATTAATCCCCCATATGTGAAAAAAAGATTAAAATCTTCTCATACAAACCCCGAAAGAATTTTCCAACACCAGACCAACCAGCTCTTCAAGAAACTCTGAAGAGAGTCTTATTCCAGGAACACTAAAGAATGAACATCCAGAAATAAGGGAATAAAAAAAAAAAAAAATCCAAGACAATTGCCAACTTAAAGGTAGGGATTAGTCCAGAAATATCAATAATAACATTGAATGTTAATTAAATTCTCCAATCAAGAGACATAGACTGGTTGAGTGGATTAAAACAAACAAACAAACAAACAAAACAGAAACCCTCTATCTGTTGCCTACAAGAAATGCATCTAATGGATAAAGACATACATAGACTAAAAGTGAAGGGCTGGAAAAAGCTATCCCATGCAAATGGGAACCAAAAAATAGCTGGAGTTGTGATAGTAATTTCTGACAAAATAAGCTTTAATATAAAATGTTTCAAAGAGACAAAGAAGGGCACTATATGGTAGTAAAAAGGCTAATCCATCAAGAAGATATAACATTTATAAATATCTATGCACCTCACTCAGGAGCACCCAAATACATGAAGGAATGACTGTTAGATCTAAACGGAGAGATGCTTTCACCCCAAAACCACAAGATACACTTTTTTCCTCACATGTGGAACCTTTTCGAAGACTGACCACATAATAGGACACAAAGCAAGCCTTTACAGATTCAAAGGCATAGAAACTATATCCAGCATCTTCTCCGACCATGATGGAATTAAACTTCATATTAATTTCAAGGAAAATCCTCAAAAATACACAAATACATGGAAACCAAATAGCTTACTCCTGAATGATTTCACAACTACTGAAGAAATTAAGACTGAAATCAAAAGATTCATGGAAGCCAATGACAATGAGGATACAAGTTTCCATAATCTTTGGGACACAGCAAAAGAAGTCATAAGAGGGAAGTTCATAGCAATTATTGCTCATAAGAAGATGGAAAGAAGGCAAATGCACCACCTAACATCATGCCTCAAATAACTGGAAATACAATAACAAAAAAAATCCAAAAAACTCCAGGAGAAAAGAAATGATAAAGATCTGAGCAAAGATAAATGAAATAGAAAATAAATGAACTATACAGGAAATAAATAAAAGTAAAAGCTGGTTCTTTGAAAAGATAAACAAAATCTATATACCACTAGCT